TTTTTTTTTTTCTCGCTTTCTTCCATTCCTTTTCCTGTGCTCAACTGGCCGAGTAGACCATTAGAGCGTGCGGGCATGCTCAAGCTCAGACATAGCCTCGGCTGCTTCAGCACGCTGGTTCCCTGGGCTGAGAGAGCTCCCCTGCAGCCTCTGACCATCCAGCAGCCCGGTCCTGCCTCCTGGTACTCTGGCCTCTGTCCCTGCCTCCCAGGCACAGTGTCCTTTCTCTTTCTCCGTTTCCCTCACGCACCATCTGCACAGGGGTCGTTGAAGGCTATGCATGAAATGCTTTGGATGATAAAGAAACTGCAGATAGCTAGTACAGAGAGTTATGAACCTGTGATACTACCCGTTCAGTCGAAGCTCCCGGTATTGATTTAATGGGGAACAGAATCACAGCCTGGAACTGTAACTGTCTCTAGTGTAAAAGGTTCTCCTGTCTGTTCTGCTTATTGTCCATCAAGATAAAGTATGACAACTAACAGCGCAATATGTGGTTGCTGCTTCTGTGCACTGCTGCAAAAGTAGTGCACAGACCACAGTTCCTGAGGTGCAATGTTCACACCTGAGAGCTTAGGCCCTCAACTGTTTATACAGCTGTCGAGTCAAATGAGATCATTTGTATCTTGAATCAATGAAAAAAGATGTGTGTTTATATAGTATCTTCCAACCGGACCGAAATATTGTTTATTAATGCCTAAAATAAATTTCATTTTTAAGTGAGATGTTCTTTAAAACAGAACTTCCCAAGTTCTAACCCCAGGTGTTATTGCCAGTGACAAATATCAGGATCGGAGGAAGAGGTTACCACAAGTTACTGCTCATGATGGATTCTTTTTTCCACGCTGTCACTACTTGAATATCTTCCTGATGTCTTACTGGAATGTGTGTGAATTCAACAAATGTGTCAGCTTATTTCATGAGCTTACAGCGAGTGTTTAGACTATAAAATAGTCATTCCTCCAAGATACTCTGTGAACTTTGCAGCTAACCTAGAGAACATATTATGAAATATGTGTCAGTCTTACTCTCTTTCATTCAAGTTACTCTTAGGGCTTTCTCTGCCTTCTTAGTGAAGGGTTTAATTGGCAAACTGGCTTTTTTATGAGGTAAGGTGCTGTTCATTTGGCTTGCAGGGAGCAAATTAATTGTTAACTCAGTAGCAGAATGGGAATTACAGTGAACTTGGAAGACTTTTCTCCACTTTTGGTTTATTTGGAAGAACTCATGTGATTTGAGACATACGGAAATACTCCTTTCTAAAGCAACTTTCCTGCATTGCCAAAATGACCCCAGTGTGTTGCTTCTTTCTCAGTGCATTTGCAAGTGACCTATTTTTGCACCTTTGGTATTGCACGATGACTGCATAAATAATGACCCGTGGGGGTTTGGGTTTTGGGGTTTTTTTGCTTGGAAGGGCAATGGTCTACCATAATCTACAGATGCTGAATATTTTTCTTGAATGCTGTTGCTTTGTGATTTCGAGATTCTCTTGCTAAAGATTGACTCATGTTAACTAACTTATGCTGAAATTGAGTCTTTGAAGCATAAAAACAAGTATTTTGAAATTAAACTTTTGACAGACCACACTAACACAGCGCTTCACAGCAGCTTATGGTAAATAGTTTTAAGATCTATTTTGAACAGACCAATTTTCATTTGGTATATAAGTCAGAAGTGAAATCTATGAGGACTAATGGAATCTGCCTTTGTTTTATTAGCTAACTCAGCAGAATTACTGAATATTTAGCCTAAAACTCTCACACTGTGAAAGCAGTTGGTAGTTTGGGAGATGCATGTATCTGTAAGCTGCTGTATGAGAATTGTGCCTTGTCAGTTTACTGTGTATAAATTAATCCGAGAAGGCATCTTGGTGTTCTTAAGTTACCTTCATGTGATGTTTTACCTTTAGTTAAACTTTACCAAAAAAGCAAGGTATGAATTCTGTACTGGAAGTTTGGCATACCCCATTCTCAGTAGGCGTCTAGCCTTCCAGTTTGTGAAATGAGAAGCGGGAAATGTGTGCATGGTGCTGCATTCCTGGCTTCAACTGATCATGAACTGATACAAGGATGGAAATGAATCTCCTTGGAATCAAGGTGTGTCCTCACCGTGCATCTCTGCGACAAACTAAAGCTTCCAGCCCAGCTGCTGACCCAGAGGGGCACGTGTTTGTTACAGAGATCGCTCCGAGTTTAGCTGAGAGCTGATGGGTTAAAAGCTTACGGAGGTCAGATTTCAGGCCTTGCTGCCAAGTGTTTTGAATACAGTTTTTTGGGTTTAGGGTATTTTGGTAACTTAGGTACAAAGTGTTTTTTTTAAAGGCTTCTACTTTGTAACTTACACATGGAAAAGAACTGCAGGAAAATTGCATTGCTTCAGAGGTGTAGACAAGATAGTCCTACAAATATCAACACTTGACTCAAATTATTTTTAAGAGTTTGGATGGCCAAAATTCAACTCTGAAACATAAAATAAATTGAAACACCTTTGTTGGTTTTTCTTTTTAACTTCAGAGATTACTGGATATTTTTAGCTGCTTAGATCCTTAGCAGTTTTAAAACTTTTCTTTTAGTAGACTGGTTTTAGAGTCTCTTGGCTTATGCAGAAAGAGCTCTTTCGAAGCAAATGGATAGAGGTTTCCCTAAAATGGCAGCAAGCTAAACTTACTCAGATCCCACATACAAAGTGTTTTTTTTAAATCCACTTTTGATTGTCAGCACTGCATTGAGGAAAAAAAGTTCAATTTTTCCCAAGGCACCTCTGTGTCACCAGAGTTTGTTTAAATATTTTCAAACTGCAGAATCTTACTTTACTTTGTCCCTGACTTACATGAACCAGTTTGCTTGGGCCTGCTCTCCCACACTTAACAATAATATGTCGTTGTGCATACACCAAACAGAAAGAGCTAAGCAATTTTCTGTACAATTTGGAGATGAATTCTAGCATTCAAATAGTTGGGTGGGGAGGAGGTTAGGAAATGCGAGCGTATGAATTGATGTGCAGTTAATATTCATAGACAAGTTTCCATAATTGCATACAAATTGAGACTCTTTCTGACAATGTTTGGTATAATAGGTGTGGACAGTTATTCCTTCAAACAAACTTTGACCAGAGAGTAATAAAACCTAAGAAATAATTTTGTACTATTGGTAAAATTCTTGCTTTTTCTGAAGTGACATAGCTATGTACAAACTTGTGCTGCAGTGTGCTGGGGAATGCTGAGAAGACACTAGGAGTCACCATATTGCATGTTGCACTACCTACTTCAGTTGCCTTCAGTGCAGCCTACAAAGATATTTTTAGAATATTTATGGGGTTTTTGTTACTCAGTTGTTCTTAGAATAATAGCCACTGACTAGTGAAATTGAAGAGGAGTCTTTGCATAATGAATAATACATTGCATCTTTTTGCAGCTATATACCGTGCTCCGAGAGAATACATGTGGCAGTAACGGAAATGGCAGCCTTGTTCCCAAAAGTAAGTACCTTTCAGCATTAAAATGTTTTTGGCCTCATTCCTCATTAGTAGATTTCCCTTCAGTAAGTGACAACCAAAAGCCAAAGGTAGGGAGAAATGACCAGGTGTTTTTGTCAAATCTTGCATCTTTGTATTTATTAGCATGCCAATTGGGAAGGGCTAACTTGTGAATCCAGGCCTTTAATTTTACTTTGAACTTAAAACTCTAAGATGTGCATGCAGTTCCTCCAAAACTGGAGGCTATTTGCATCTAGCTTGAGGAGTCTTGTGGTTACATGGGAATTTTGCTAGACTCATCACTCCCAAGTTTCCATTTGAGTGCCGCTGCCTGGATTTCTTACATGCAGGTATGTTTAGATCTGTTATCTATCTACCGAAGTCATCTGTTTCTTCACAGCAAGTTTAGGGAGTGAAATCTCGGTGATTAAGTTTTTGTAAAGTCTTACCTACCTCTGTAAGACTGCAAGGAAAATCTAATGCTGTTGTGCCTACCTGAACGGATTGTCTTGTACACGCTGTACCCTGATGTCAGCCAGGACATGGGCTGGGTAGCAGTAAATGGGCACTAGAAAACTTGTATGAGTAACTTCCTAAATGAGAGTGTGAAGCAGTATTCCCTGCGTGCTGCCTGGCAGCAGTTTGAAATGTCCCTGAGATGAGGGAGGAGAAATTCCGGGAACTTGTTTCATCCGCCCCTACCTCACGTCTCTGCAGCGGTGTCTTGTAACATCTCCTACAGCACAGAGGAGGCCGTGCAGAAAGCAGGGCCCTGGCAGCAGAAGTTTCCTATTAAAGAACACTCGTGGACCACTACCGGCTAATTAAAAGCAATCCTAAAATGGTTTTGTTGTTCTGTCAAGTTCAACTTCTACTTTCCTTTCCCAGAAACCCAAATCTGAACTGGTAAGGACTTCTTTGCGTCTGCTGACATCTAGTGCCTACAGACTCCAATCTGAGTGCAAAAAAACCCTTCCTGTGGAGACGTGCCCTACAACAGACATCCAGCTGGTCACGCAGCAAGTGATCCAGTGCGCCTACGACATCGCCAAGGCTGCTAAACAGCTGGTTACCATCACAACCAAAGAGAACAACAACTGAGTCACACTTGGCTTTTTAGTCTTGTTTTTTAAAGGTTGAATTTCAAACAGGTGTGGAACTATTCAAATTTTTATGAGAAAAACTAAAGGGGCAAGAAACTTTTTTTAAAAAACTCAGTATTATTTTTGCATGTTTTCTAACAATTTTATGATTAATTTAACCCACTGCCTTATTTTGTGCCTGTGTTGCCAGTTTAGTTACAGATAATAGCATGCTGCGAATAGCTGTTGAGCCATTATCACGTACCAGCGTTGTATCAAGCTCTTGCTAGATGTTCCCCTGGGGCCACGTTCTGCTTTCAGATACTGCTTGCAAAACTCCCACTGAAGTCAGCGGCACGTATCAGAGGGCAGAATCTCACCTCTGCTCTGTCCCTCCTGGAGCCTCGTGTGCCGTGATGCCGCTGACTGAGAAATCCGCAGCGAAACAGGCTCTGAAGGCTCCAGGACCGTAACTGCTGCCCAGCAGGAAGAAGGTTGTAGTCCTGATAACGGAGTACAAGCCAAATATTACCTGTTCCCATATCAATTGTTGTGCAATAATATGTTTTTACTCTGCTAAAACAATAGTAGTTGTGGGCATACGAGCTTATTACATGTAACTATACAAGGTCTTTGTCACTTTATCTGTTTTGGAAGGAATTTGAAACTTAATGGTTATTTCTTTTAGTTGTCACTATGCCATTAATATGTATGTTTGATGTTACGTTAGGGCATTAGTGGTTAAAATATTATCCTTTGTTTCTGATTTAACAATTCATTCTTAAGTTTCCTACAGAATTTTACTGTCATCTTCAAGGCACCATCTTGTTTGCAGCAGCATTGCTCAGTAACTCAAGATGCAATTTCACTAAAGATTTCTGTGATAATTAAAAAACAAAAAAGGAAGTTGGAAGAGTGCCAGTGCAAAAGCAGCTGTACCTGCCATAGCATGTAACCTCTGTACCTCAACATATCCAAATGTGAAAAGGTTTCTGATATCTAGTAAGTTTTATGCAAATCTTTCAAAATTTTACAAGCTATGTATGGAGTAACCCAAGCTAGGCTGCCTGTTAGAAAGGTAGGTGGGTGACAAACATCCATGTGGGTTTCGGGTTTCTTCATTCGTAACAGTGTCAGTCCATACTTTCAAAAATGAGAATTCTTTGGGAATCCAAATTCCATGGGGGAAAACAATGACTAATTTTTGTCTCCGCCTGTGTCCCGTTTGGAAGCGTGTTGTCATTTTCAAGGAGCCGGCTGCGGCAGTTCGGCTGGCAGCCTCTTAAAGTGGTCTTTTAGTTAAGAGCGAAGTTACGGAACTGCAGCGGCTGTCACGTGGCAGCAGTTGATGTGAACATTTAGACAGTTTTCACAGAAACATTTGAGTCAGAAACGGCTGTCTGCTGTTCCACAAACGGGTCTGCAGTACGCAGTCTGCCAAAACCACGAACTCTTCAAGGCTTTCTGGTGAAAAACTGCCATATTTATGTGAACAAACAAGGTAAAGTTCAGTGGCTGGTTCCTTTTCAATCATACTGTGTTTGTATGTATATATAAACACTAAGTGCCATAACGCTGTTGGATTCTCGTATGTTGTATTTAGCTCCCTTTTTAAAGTAGTGCAGGTTTGAGGAGGGGGAAGGAATGGAGAGAGTAGATGACAACCCAGTAAGTTAATGATGTTCTTCATTGTGAGGGTTTTTTATTTCCTTTCTGCACTTCTGAATTCCAGAACTGTCTCTAAACTCATGGGAATGCAGACAGGCTGGGATTAGAACTGCAAAAGACATTGGTAAAACCTGCTTCAAAATTATGCTACTGGCAATTAAATACACTGATAATCTTCTCGGAACTTTTCCTTAAATTGGCATCATTGAAAGGCAGGGGATGGTATTTTTCAATATCTCTCAGGACACCAGCGTACGCTTTTCTTTTAACATATCTTAGCTGATTTCCAAAGCAGGGTAACACTGAGTTATGTTGTAAGTTATCAGTTGTTTAAACTTGCCTCTGTACCGAAACAAACGGATGCTTTGATAACTTCAAGCCCTTGTTCCAGCTACGCTAGCTCCAGATTTTCTAAAATCAACTATTTTGCTTGTTGGGAAGGCCTAGCTATAAAAACACGGCCAACCCCTAACTGATTTCCCATTCTGTCGCTTAAACAGCATTTCTGGTCAACTCCCCCGTCTCCGAACAAACGTTTGTTCTGGGTTGGTTATGGTCACGCTGTGTCATCACTCCAGAGCCACGGTGGCTGTCATGCAAGATAGGCAATTTTCTGACGTTCTCAGTAAAACAGAAGTGGTCTGAGCACATGCTGATGTGCTGCGTCAGCTCTTTTCACAAACAGGCAGAGTGGTTCAAAACCAGCCGTGGAAGGGAAGCATAGTGTGTAGATTAGCCCTCGAATCGTACATCACTGCGGGTCAGAAGAGTTGTAATACCTGAAATAACAACGGTGGTTTTTTTCCTTTTATGACTAGATCTCTTTTTCCCCTGTAAACAAACTTGCTTTTTCTTTACAAAATGCCATGTAGGAAAGTAAACAATTTTTTTGCCTTTTTCCAACACTTGTATTTATCAGTGTCATTCTGTCTGTACAAGATTTTGACTTAAGCTTTTGTTTACTGTATTACTATAAAACGCTAAAACCCTTTCAGTCTGCCGAAATTATTTGGGGTTATTTGACTGCTGGTTCTCTAAAGAAAAGCTCTTGAAACAGTTCCTATAGTTGAGTAAAGCCTGTGGTGCTGAAACAGCCCCCACCTTTGTAACAGCCCTGTGACAGGACCGGAATGTGCCACACCACCTGAAGCGCGTGGACTGATTTTAAGCTGCAGTTGCCTACGGTAACAGCAAGGAATCGAGGGCAATAATCAACTAAAACTCCCCTCCCCTCCTGTTGTTGCAGCAGTTTGCTCACGTAAAGAAACAAACGGTTGTTCAGGTTGCAGTTATTCATTATTTATGAAACAAGTAGAAGAAATTCATAAAGTCTTCAGCACCTTCTGGAGAGGAACTGGACACGTTAAGAATTACTGCCACAGCACACGTTATCTATCTTACCGATTTGCAATGCGTTATGAATTAACTCCTAAAAGCCAGCTGGGCCTCTAGGCACCTCCTGCTTCTCAGAGGTGGGAGTCTGACACTTTAAATAGCAAACGCAGCACGTAGTGCTTTACAGGTCCCGTTCCACGGGAGGCACAGGTTCTTTCACGGCCTAGATCCAAGGGGCCCGTTCATTTGCTGTGTTGCCCTGGGGTAGCACATACTAAAATACATCATCACAACTCCTGAACACGGAGCAAGCGAAGCAGTTCAGTCCTCCAAGGATGCTCACACCTCCGCATTCTTGAAGCCAGTAGAAATTTGCTCTTGTGTTCAGCTGCACCACAGCTAAATATTCTCAGAAATCTAGGGAGTTGAGTCCCGGCGTCATTGTAGGCTATTCCAAAGCCACCATTACTTCAGGAGTTCCTTGATTCTTCAAAGTTTTCTTTCTGTAGTCTGCAACTGCATTTAGTGCTTGTTCCTCGGGTGCAAAGGACAAGAATCCTCAGGTCCACGCTGCTTTCGGGTAACTGTAGAGCTAACGGGGTCAAAATAAAGATCATAACTACTTCATGGGCTCTAGAATTAATCTCCCGCACACGTGCTATTCAGCATGCAAAGAAGGTACGTTGGGGAGTACAGAATGTCCTCCAAGAAAAAGCGTCGGTAATGTTTAAGAGTTGATCCTTTTAAGGCAGTAAGACCTCCTTTCAGCTTTCTGACTTTAGTACCTACTGTCTAATAAATGACAGAGGTGAGTTACTCTGCAGAGCAGCTCACAGTTTAGTATGAAAAATACGATCTGCTGGGCATGTGGTTTAGGTAGGGCTACTCAAATTCAGCTTAGTTTTTAGAGCTAGGCAAAGCACAACAGAAGATGGAAAGACACCGAGCAGCTGAGATGCGCTGTACCAACTGCGTTAATGCAGCTGATAATGCTGAAAATAATCAGAGTAACATTTGAGGCAGCAGCAACAAGTCTGCCTCAAAGATTATTTAAAAATTGGGACCTAAAGCATCAGTATCGGAAAAAGAAAAGCAATTTATAAGACAGAACTATAAACCTCTGTTAGAAGTAGCACCAGGGAAAGGAACGGGCCCGGTGTTCTGCCCTGGCGCTGTGTGGCAACTAAGGTGCAGATTAGAAGCAACGACAATGCAGTTTGCGTGATGCCGTCGCCCTCCCCGACGGGCTCGGGTGCCGGGGTGACCTGTATGCACAGGCTTCCCCGTACCGCTGCCACCTACCCTGCTGCGGTACCCTTGCTCAGCCATGCGCTTGGCCTCCTGCCGCACTAACTCCTCGCAGCGCCGCCGGGCTGATCTCTCCTCTTCTTCCTCCTCCCTCTGGCGCTGCTGCTCCTCCCGTTCTTGTAAGCGGCGCTCTGCCAGCTGGGCACAGAGAAGACGGGGCTGTTATGGCGAGATCAGACACAGGCTGGGCACCTTCAACAGCTGGGTGCGTAGCTGGAAGGCGTGCTGTACCTGCGCCTCCAGCTCCTGCCTGCGGGCCGTCTTCAGTTCCTCCTCCTGCTCCTTCTCTCGCCTAGTCAGTTCTTTTGCCGCCTCAAGTTCTTTAATCAGCTGCTCTCGATACTTTATAGACTCTTCTTGGGCTTGTCTGTTTAACTCCATCTTCTCTTGGATCTGGCGCTGCCTGCCTGCAAGGACCTTTGTGAAGTGAGAGGATTAAGGGAGAAGATAAGTCAAGAAAGGGGCCAGCCTTACAAGTGGAACTGGGGAAATCTCAGTGCAGACAGTTAAACAGTTCTCAGAAAATGTATCGGACAAGCAGAAAAAATCTGCCCTGGTACTGAAGGCTGTAACCCTCTGGAGGGTGGAGGGTCGCAGCTGGAACCACGGCTTCATTGAACCAGGAGAGACACCTCACCAAAAATGGTCATCACCTCGTTCATCAGGCGATCTCTGGCCACCTTCTCTCTTTCCCATTCTTCTTCCCTCTTCTCCCACATTTTTTTAGCTTCTTCTCTAAAGGAGGGAGGAAGAATTATCTCTAAGGTTACTACTTACAGTTAAAAAAACCCTATATACTCCATGGGCACAGACGAGCTATCCTGTGCTTTAGAGGAGCACTCAGGTTTCTCTTCACGTTTGTCCCCAGGCAGCTAGCGTGTCCGCTCCGATCTCCCTGTTACTGAACAGCAGGAGGTAACACGCTGAAGGAAACCCTGGCCTGTAGCAGGACTTCTTGGACATGCCGATCTGCCCCAGGCACAGAAGGGCCCCGGGAGGAAGCTTGCCTCTTAACAAGGATGCTACTTCACATGGGGGGTGGGTAGTTAAGGGCATTGCTGGAAAAGCTTAAGATTTTGCAAATCTTCCCTCTGCAACAAAACCTTTAACTAAAACTTGATGGTGGCACGTGCTGTCC